TTTAAAAAAATCGACAAAATGCATAAGTTAATTATTGTAGAATTTTAATATAATTCAAATCAAATGATTACCTTGGGTAATCCTGCTTTATCCAAAGGCGGTTGAGGAAATGATAGATATTCGTGACATATATCTTTCGTACTAGGAATCATAACTATCTTTGTATCCGGTGAGGACTTGATAAATGCAGCTAACGGAAGTGTAATAAATTTTTTAAAGAGCTCCCCGGGTGTATTTAATACTTCACCATTTTGAATCATAGGGTGTTCTTCATCGACAAATGGTCCCATCTATATTTATACGTTCCTTAGATTTTTTTCATATTACTATTAATTCATAATAAATATTTTATAATTACCAAAATCAAGATATCTGGTTTTTCCTGAGCCATCTTTTTTATCAATTCACGTAATGGCTCATACTCAAATCCCGTTTCCAATGCATATGGCCCTGCTGCAATCACCACATTTAATGGTTTTCCGTTTAGTTTTGTATTGTAATCAACGATTTCACTAGTTAGAGTGCGATACATTGGTAGTAATGGCATCTTTTATTCATACATCAACATATTAAGTATTATATCTTTATAATGATAATTCAGTAAACTTTAAATAGTAAAGGTAATAACTTTACCTCAAAAATTTTAGTCACAATGAATTCAGCTTCAAGAACTTTATTTACATTAAACTCATCATATAGTTTATTGTTTCCTTGAATTCCTAAAATCTAATTTCACGAAATAAATCACAAATTTTTCAATTATTATGGTAGAAGAATAAATTACTTTAAAATACCTGTCCTGGAAATAAACTGAATGTTGAGAGTTCATTCAATGACAATTTAATCCAACTCCCTCCAAAATATGGTAATGTTTCTAATAATACTGATTCTGTGTTAAGCTTTCCTTCAGAATCACACCATATTCTACCTACTGTTGTTATCTCATCCTGCATATATTATTATTATGAATCATTAATCTGAGGGAAAAAATCATGCCTGATACAAATTTATAATATAATATAGACACCTGAGTTAAAGATGATGGATCAGATATTTCATCGATATTGCATTTTTCTTTTAATGTTTCTGCAAACATTTCAAATCGTTCCAACAAAACTATGATTTTTTTTTTTAAAAAAAATATATATATATATATCAATATTTTCATTATTAATAAGAATCATTGCGCGATATTATTAGTGGTTTACCTTCATATTTCTCTTTAAGTGATTGATCCATATATCGATATGGATCCATTTGTTGATCAGGCAAAACTATTATTTTAAATTCTTTGTTTTTTATAATATCAAAATTATCGAATTGCGCTAGTTGTGGATTTAATGTCTCTTCTATTTTTCCTTTATTGACGCGTTCAGAAAACTTTTTCGTGTTAGACTGCATTTTTTGATTATCTTTAGAATTTCCGATTTTGGATTGTTTGTTAATTTATATAGTCGTAATTGAGGATTGTAAAATCACATGAAATTAAAAATGATTATAACTGGATAGCAGAGAGTGGATTTTTAGTTTCTCTATATAGCTCTATTATGATAGAATTCTTTTTAAATGCAGGAGTAGTTTCGATTCCAAGTATATAAAGTATGCAATAAAATTTTCGCTTTATAAAATGCAGAATTTCATCAAGTCCCGAAAAATTGTATTTAGAGACTTACAGGCCAAAATGTGTGGCAGGAAATTTATCAATGTCGACCCATTCCGATGGGATCGACTTCGATCTGCTGAAAATTTGGTTGCGCCACTAATCTATTCCATGATACGCATGATCAATAATATATTTAGCGTAGTAGAAAAATTTAACGTTAATTTTTTAATCTTTTTATATCTCAAAATAGAGATATTGCTTATTTTTAAAAGTTATGTTTTGAACTTTACAGTAAGTCTAAAACTATTATTAAAGGAATAACATTTTTTTCATCTAATTTATATAAATAATTTTTATTAATTCTTTATCATTATTCGAATAATATTCAAATTATTTGTATCAGTAAATGCCTATTCGAAGATTTGCCGAATGACTAAAATTATTCGAATGAGTAAGTACAATTATTTGAATAGGATTTGTTTATTCACATTATTCATTAAATAATCATTTTGAAAGTTTCATTCAAATATTCGTGAATATGAAGTCTATTCTCTTCCATCTAAAAAAAAAATCAGATAAAAAAAACAATTTCTAGGAATAATTTTAGCAAAATTAGAAATTATAAAAGCTAACTATTATATTAATAAATGACTTTTTTTTTTCGTTAGAAAGTTTTTTTCGATTCTATACTGATAATTAAAAAGAATTACCAATTGTTTCAATATTTTTTGAGTGCATATTGCTTATGTAATTATACAAGTATTAATCAAATATTTTTGAAATATCTTTCTGATATTCGTCGTCAAGCTTCTTTTTTTTTCGCCTATCAATCTCTTCTAGTTCTTCTTTTTCACGTCGTCTCTTTTTGGAACTTTAATAATAAACAATTAAAACATGGTTATGAATTGAAGAATGATTCTAAACGAAATATATATATATTAATTACTTACATCGCGCTATTCGGATTTTTCTCCGGGTTTTTACATTTGTGCAAACGAGCATCAATCTCCTTTGCTTGATCAATAGTTATTTCTACATGACTGTTAATTATATTTTCAATTTCATCGAGCATCTTATAAAGTTCATTGACTTTTTCTTTTGGATCAGACTTGAATTTAAATCGTAAATAGCTAATTATTTTTTATTAAAATAAAATTAGTAACTAAATATAATACAAGTATTGAAATTTCAAAATAATTCATACACTTTCTCTAAATCATAATTTTCTTGTTTGGCTACCATTCTCAGCGTCGCTAAGGCAATTTGCGATGGTTGATAAATAAACATACAATCTGTAAAAAGAGATTTTTTGATAAACTCAAGAGATCTCTCATACAGTAATTTGATTTTAGGAATATCTTTTATGAAATTCTTTTAATAATAATAAATTTAACCATAAGTATATTATAAAAGAATAATTTGATCTTAATAAAATATAGTTATTACCTGCATATCCAGGAAAAATCCAAATGAAGCCAAATATGGATGATGTACCGAATATTCATATCTCAAACTTCGAGAAACTACTAATTCAAGTTCAAATATTGTTTCCTTAGAAAGCTTGACTACTTTTGTAAATTCTTCGATGGCAACGAAGGAGTGTTCAACTTTGGCAGCAAGGAACAAACAAGTAACACTATTTTGATCAAAAATTATCAATTTATATTAAACAAAAAGTAGCAAACGTTATTTTCAGTTCTATAAAATCGATTTACATACATAATTTCTTTAGGGTGATAATCCATTACAGTATTTCTCAAATAGAATCTTTTGACAAAAGTTATCGCAGTTGCCTTTGAAAAAGGTTAAAGTTTAACCCAAGCAACAGCATGTGATGTATCACTGAAGAGATATCTTTGTTTGTACACGATATTTACTTTTACTTTATCTGTGAATTTATTCTCGATAACTTCTTTTGGGAAACGACTCGCCATTAGAGGTATTCGGGTTTCGTAAAAATTGCATAATGCTAGTTCGTCTTCCAGAGTTAAGTACTCGATCTCGGATGGAATTAGACGTGGTGAATCTACGCTTTCTGTTTGTTCACTATATGCAGGAGACGATTTGTCTAAAATTTGCTTTTGTAAAGTCTTTAAAAAAAAAAAAAGTGTGATTATACGCACTTTAGTTATGGATCATTTCTTTGATATTTGTTATATTCAATCATTTCACGTACTGATTCTTCTAAAACCTTTTTTTTTACTCTTTCTACAGCTAAAATATGGTTTTTATCACGAGTTTCTCGTAACTTTGCCTTTGAGAAACGCCAATTACGATATTGGGAAGTTTCTGTATAAAGCTCTTTCATCATAAATTTTTAATTAATTAATTAATGAAACTAAAGGATATCGATATATAATTTAATAAATTTAAATCTACCAATCATAATTAAGAATCTAATTCATTAAATCTTATATAAATGCATGGTTAATCCTGTTCATAAAAAAATGTTGATCGAAAATGTCGAACCATAAAGAGGAAAGAATTATATTAAATGTTGGTGGAATTAAGGTATGAAATAAAAATAGTTTGCCGAATCACATGATATTTATTAATGATCTTTGAATTTTTATAGTATGAGACCTATCGTTCAACTCTTACCGCTTATCCCGATACAATGCTCGGTACAATGTTTCAAGAAAGAAATGGTTCATTACTTCACCCGACCAAAGATAATGAATATTTCTTTGATCGAAATGGATATGCATTTCATTTCATAATTGAGTTTTATCGTACCGGTAAGATTCTTTGGGAAGAACCAACAACTAGTAATAATAACTCAAGTCCTTTGATGGTCACTAGCAATGAATTACATCAAGAAATAGAATACTTTCGTATTCCATATGATGTAAATATTGATATTAAAAGGGCACGATTCAAAAAACGCCCAGCTGAGGTTATAGATGTGTTTGTTTTAGTGTTAGAATCATTTATTGACGTCGCCTTGCAAGAATGGCATGGTGATGTCAAAATATATCTTTATGAAGATATGATTTCTTTTAAGGCATTTTTGGATAATGAAGATGTGTCAAATTATTATCAATTTACGGGGTTAAATGATTTTAAAATCTTCAAAAGGATGGGATATAAAATTTTAAATTCCTTCGCTAAAAATATTGCAGAATATTTTAAAAAATTGATTCCCGGACTTCAATGGGATTGTCATCATTTTGATAGACAAATTCCACAAGTCACTCTGACTCATTATGCTCTGAAAATATCGTTTACAAGTCAATATTCCTCAGAAATGTTAGAAAGTACAAAATTTTATTCAGTATTAAAATCGTTAGATGTGGAACATTAAACATTATCAATATTTATTATTATAATTATTGTAGAACTATTAGTAATTGGCTAATCCGTACCCAGGGTTGTATAAATTTTGTTTTGTGAGTTACCCAAAATATTTGATAAATTATCTGCAAAATACAAAAATTTTAATTGGCTAACCTGGAATCTTTCGGGTTACTTTCCTTATTTTTGATGTCTACCTCTGAACTTTTTGACTCTTAGCATTAATGCCGAACAAACTAAATCTTAAAGCTGGCCAAAATTAATCTTAACTCTGCTGTAATTTTGTAACCTACCCAAAGTGTTCCGCAACCGGGGTAAAATCGCCACCCAAAAAAGTTTGAAATCACGTGATGATCGACCAATAAGAAATCATACGATAAGTTAATTTTTTTAAAACTTTGAGCGAAGGTTTCTCAACAACCACCTAACCAATTTCTATTAAAATTTTTTTATTTGAATTCTGCAAATATGTAGAATTCGAATAAAAAAAAATTCATAGAAATTGGTTAGGTGGTTGTCGAGAAACCTTCGCTCAAATTTTTTAAAAAATTAAATAACTTTATTGTTTATAGGCGGGATAGATTTGCTTTGACTTTGAGCGAAGGTTTCTCGATAACCACCTAACCAATTTTGATGAATTTTTTTTTATTCGAATTCTACAAATATATAGAATTAGAATAAAAAAATTTTAATAGAAATTGGTTAGGTGGTTGTCGAGAAACCTTCGCTCAAATTTTTTAAAAAATTAAATAACTTTATTGTTTATAG